ATATTATATTTATTATTAGTTATTAGTATAGTTATATTATAGTATATAGTAATTAGAAAATAGGATCTTAATTGGCTGTTAGAAGTATAATACAGACACATGACATTGAGTAACATCTATGATGTCATTATTGTCTTACAAATCTCAAGTACTCCTACACAAGTTTTATATATCCTAGTACAATTTACTGTGCCAAATACTACAGTACAAGAATCACAAGTATCCTTAACACAATTCTCAAGTATCCCAACACAATCCCCAGGTGTTCCTATACAATCCCAAGTATTCCTATACAATCTTCAACTATCCTTGCACAAACTCAAGTACCTTGACACATGCCTTAAGTGTTTCAAGTACAAATAACAAATACATATAAACATTGTCCTAACTATCTCTGTACAAACTCCACTTGCCTCTGCACAATCCCTACTACCTCAAGTACAGTATTAAGAGATATCACTCAAACCTCCACTACCTCCACTAGATAAAAAGATATATAAAGGGTACCTTTTTCTCTTTCTTGCCAATTCTAAGTTCCTATACTTCAACCTAAACATAATAACCTTTTAATGATAAAATGTGATATCCCCTTCTAGAGTAATTCTTACAGGCAAGGTTGTTACTATGTGTGTTATTAATAAAAAGTTAATCTATATACTGTTATTATCTTGAACTGTTTGCCTACTGCTGTGTAGTAAAGTGAACTACTATACCTCCACCCTATATATATTTGCAATAGTTAATCACTATACTGGGTGACCTTGTTACTTGGTTGTATTGTACCAAGAAGACTGCAAACCTGTAACAGTTCTTATCCTAATCCTAAATATGAATACTCTAAGACTATAATAGTTTCACAGTCAATAGCAGAATACAATTTAATAAATAAATACAGAATAATAAAAAAAAATAATGCTTTGCTTTGGCTGTTACCTCTGCTACACTTTTTTAACTTAAAACATCAAATTAACAGTTTTTATTAGGTCCTTACTCTAACCCTAAATATGAATGCTCTAAGACTATAATAGTTTTACAGTTAATAGCTAAATACAATTCAATAAATACAGAATGATAAAAAAAAATAATAATGCTTCGCTTTAGCTGTTGCCTCTGCTACACTTTTTTTTAATCTAAAATATCAGGTTAACAGTTTTTATTAGGCCCTTACTTAACCTTAAATATGAACATTCTTAAACTATAATAGTTTTACAGTATAAATATAACATAGTTTAGTCATAGTATCCAAATTTAGAACATATTTTTGCTTTGTATTTTTAATATAAACTAGTTTTGACACCTAATTTTGTATGCTTTTATCTACTTCTCTAAATAATAATATTTAGATAGAAGTATACAAAATTTGTTCCAAAATCTCTGTATTATACCTAAATAGTGAAGTTTATCTTTTCAACTCCAATTCTATTAAGATAAATTTGGCCAAATTTATACATTCATAAGAATTATTCAACTCTACAGATATTTGATAGTATTTGGATGTCTTATTCAAAAGTATTTCCATAACCAAGCATTAGTATTCCTTTAAAATTTTCCATATCTGCTAATTTTTTACAATCAGTAAAACTCAATTGACCTAATGTGCTAGTAATTATAAATTGCTACCAATAGAAATCAGATCAGGCAGATTTATTAAATAAATCTGCTTGGCACCAACTCATATTCTAGAAATAAAGTAAAAAAACTCAGAAAAGATAAAACAAACAAAAAATTAGATTAAACAAATAAAAATATTAGAATCTTAATTCTTTAATACTTAACTATACAAAAAAAAAATCTACAAATATATAAATGGGTAAAATAATACATTATATGATTTTCAAATCAGTTATATATATGTATTTTTTTTCTTAACAAGCCAATTAATAAATAAGATAAATCAACTTCAAAGAGTTTAAATTAGAGTTTTGCTAAGTACTAGAATGGTATTATATTAAAACATAATGCTTATACCAGGCATTATGTTTTAATTTAGTACCATTCTAGCACTTGCAAAACCTACCTACTTGCTTCTAATTATTTTCTTTATTATGCTGATCACTTTTTTCAGGACAATTTCTTGAATCATGATACCAAGACTTATACTTAGTACATTGTTTTTTATTTTTTTCTTTTCTTTTGAAGGTTGATTTTCAATAGCTAACAAGTATCTTTTATTTGTAGGTCAGTCTTTCCTTTTGTGCTGAATCAGATCTGTGATATTATTAATGTTATTAGAATCTTCAGAAAATTCTGTAGACATTTTATTTTGCTTTTTAATAAATTATTGTAAAAGCTCTTCAAAAGCTTCACAAGAATTGTTTAAGATTACCAAATTTAAAGCCTTTTTGCATAGCCTAATACCACAGCCATATATTTCTTTTTTTGAATCTAAATTTATAAAAGATTCATTAAATATTTCTTGCCCACAGATATTATTTAATGTTTGAAATGTGCTGGTTTGAAATTCAGTTTCAACTTGAATTAGTGTAATTGATTTTTCTTGAACTTCTTCTCTTAACAAAAGTTCTTCTTTCAAATATCATCTGAAGGGCACAAGTTTAATATTAAACTGTGCTTTTTTTGATTGAAGCATCACAGCAAAAAAATGCCTACAAACAAATTCTACATAAACTAAATAAAGACAAGTGCAATAATGTATATCATCATTAAATATAACCACATACTAAGATTTATTTGTAATAGTTTAAAGATGCTTAACCTCCCATATTTTACTTAAAACACCCTCTGAACAATCCTCCAAAGCCATGTTAATTAAAATTTGAGGTTCTTCATAATTATTCTTGAAAACCCTTCATTATACTGATCTGAATTCTGCATTGTTATACTAATATTCTTAAGTTCATTTATTCGAACTCTATATAACAGGCTTTCCATTATTTGCTTCCATTATAGTGCCAGCGAATTTGGTGTAAGATATTTTTTTAATATTTTATCTATTGAATTAAAAATAGTATTAGAGACCTAAAGGATTTCAGTAGTAGGGTTCATATTCTGAAATTTTAGCTATCATGAATATTTGGCTTCATCTTTTAGTCTTAATTCAACTTCGAATTGGAGTTGGCATAATAAATTTCCTGAATTTGCTTCTAATTTTATAATCCTATTCAAACTCTCTACATGTTGGATTGAATATGTATTGGCTGAAAAGCTATGTTTAGTAAATGCATAAGCCTAGCATGTTTTGGTTGGATACAATACACATTTAAAATATTTTTAACTTCTGAGTATTTATTAATTAAATTTGTCCAACAGCATTCAAAAGCTGTAATGGTAAGTAAATTGCATATAACATAGAAATCATTAATAAAAGTATCTCATTTACTTTGAAGTTTTGGTTTAACTTTTTTTATTAAATTTTGTTGAATATGAAAAGCACAATATCTCACAATTTTCTAGGATACTGGTTGCTTATCGCAACCTGCATCACTGGGTCTGCATCAATAAAAAGTGTTTTTGGTTGAAGATTTCCTTTGCATGCTTAGTTTGTTCTAGTTCCCATTCATAAGTTAACACAGTTTTATCACAAACTACTGTCGTTGCTATGATTCGACTTCTATGATCTGAATCAATTATTACAAAAATATTTAAGAGCATTAAATATTTGTTGGTTTTACAGGTGTTATCATTTATAACAACATCATGGTATCAAATTCACATTTGCTTCTGCTCAGATGATATCCAAAAAATTTTGAATAGTTTATTATTAATACTCTCAAATTTAATTTTGAAATAATATTCAGGATCCTCCGAATGTAATTTAATTAAATGTTTTAGAAGTGTTGCAGCATCATTTTTAACTTGAGAACCAGCTTTAAATTTATGTATCATATTATAAAGATCTTGGCAGTAAATGTCCTGATCTGGATACTTTTTTCTTAATATCTTTTTTAAAACAGTAGCTTCTAATTGACACTCTTGTACATAAAATTTGATTTCATTCATTATATCGTCTGATATCCTATGTAATGCTAGTGAGAATTCTTAAAGAGAATCCCAGTTTTGTAATAAATAGTTATGTTCATTAACAAATTTGTTAACAAATACTAGGTTCTCAGATTTATGATATGAAGCATTTACTGTAAACCTACAATCAATACGGACTAATTCTCGGTCTCTATTTTGTGTAGGATCCAACCTTTTTTTTAGTACATATTTTCTAACATGATGGCACTTATACATCTTTCTTGCCCAATTACTCTCACCTTTTTCTATTTTTACTGTTCTTATTTTAAAGCCTATTCAGATGGCATATCACTTTAAACATTGTTCAAGTACTTCAAATAACACAAACATTTGCCTATTATAAATTTCTCTTAATATGCTATCTTCTGGCTCATCCTCTCCACAACTATCTTCTGGCTTATAATATCTACAACTATCTTTATATAAATCATCATACGATTCTTCATAAATACTTTGGTATAGTAATAAACATTTAGGTTGGTCACTAGTTTCAGATTGGTCTTGCAAACACATTGTTCTAAATTTTTTTTTTTTTTTTGGTTAAAATTTCAATGATATATATGCCAATAGCATTCAATAATACCTTAGTATTGAGTTGGTCTTTAGTATTAAGTTGTGCTTTAGCTTCAGGTTGGGCTTTAGTTTTTGTATTGGTCTTTCAAGCATATTTTTTAAATTACAGTTAGATTTTTTTTTTGGTTAAAATTTTAACGATATATATAGGGAATTGATATTTTCACATCCTTTTTTGATATTGCCACACCCCTGCTAATAAAAATCAATATAAATTATTAGGATTTTGGTTAGTTTAAAGTTTGCAGAAATGTGGCAATATCAAAAAAGGATGTGGAAATATCAATTTCCTATATATATATGCTATATAGCATTCAATAATACCTTAGTATTGGATTGGTCTTTATTATTGGGTTGGGTTTTAGTTTCAGGTTGGGCTTTAGTTTTTGTGTTGGTCTTTCAAGCATATTTTTTAAATCACAGTTAGATTTTTTTTTAATTAAAATTTCAATAATATATATATGTCACATAGCATTCAATAATACCTTAGTATTGGGTTGGACTTTAGCTTTAGGTTAGGCTCTAGTTTGTGTTAGTTTTTCAAGTGCATTTTTTAAATCACAGTTAGATTTTTTTTTTTAATTAAAATTTCAATAATATATATATACCATATAGCATTCAATAATACCTTAGTATTGGGTTAGGCTTTAGTTTTGAGTTGGGCTTTAGTTTGTGTTGGTCTTTCAAGCACATTTTTTAAATCATAGTTAGATTTTTTTTTTTTTTAATTAAAATTTCAACAATATATATATGCTGCATAGCACTTTAGAATTGGGTTGGGTCTTTAGTATTGGGTTGGGCTTTAGTTTCGGGTTGGGCTTTAGTTTTTGTGTTGGTCTTTTAAGCGCATTTTTTAAATCATAATTAGATTTATTTTTTTTGTTTAAAATTTTAACAATATATATATGCTGCATAGTCTTTAATAATACCTTAACTTTAAGCTGTTCTTTAATATCGAGTTGGTCTTGTATTTATAGGGTGGGTGTTAGTTTAGGTTTGTCATTACCAGTAGTTAGGGCATTTCTATTGGTTTCAATACAAGCAAAAGAAGCATTAGAAAAAAGATAATGATAATGATCAAGTAAAGGTTGGATTTTGTACATAAAGATTAGATTGTGCTACTACATTTACATATGATAACACATGATAGTGATGATGATCAATTAATTTTTTGTACAGGGGGGTAGGATATGTATATCTATTAATAAATAATTAATATATTAAATTATTATTATTATTAATTATTAATAATTATTAATTAATAAATTTTTAGGGGTGTGGTGACCTAGTGAAGTGGATAGGTTGTCAACCTCCAAGTGGCAGGTCTAGAGTTCAAATTCCAGTGACAGCGAAAATTTGCAATTCTTTCTGTATTATGACTAACTGTCTTCTGTGATTGGTTGAGATAGGATACCTGTAACCCGTGTCATATCAGCCTAACTGGAAGGTCTAGGCATCCGTGCAACGTTGTACAAAGGAACACAAACCGGTACCAGGTGGTGTGAACCCAAGATAAGTCCTTAGGCCGTGTAAATCATGGGAACCAGGTAGGAGGACGGAAGCCCACTTGGAAGA